ATGATGTTGCAAATGGTAAGAGTTCCTTCCTTTTTAGAGCAGCATAGTATTCCATCGTGTAGATGTACCACAGTTTTCTAATCCATTCATCTACTGATGGGCACTTAGGCTGTTTCCAGAAATACTGGACTTTTAAAAGCAGTTTTGATTGTGAATTAAGAGGATAGACCCTTAAAATAAGACAGCTGTGGGAAATTTGGCACATAAGTAGGAGTACCTGAACTTGTCACTACCTGATGATGATAGCCAGATGCTGTGGGAGTAGTGCAGGTCCAGCTCTCCTGGGGACAGGGAGCCTGGGTATTAGTATTATGGATGAGACTGCTTTTGAGGGTGGTACCTTGGCTCTGTTCTCAACTGCATGCTCCTCTTTCACAAAAGTTAGAAAAGACTTATCCCTGATGAAGCACTCTGCTGGAAAAGAGAACGGTCTCAGATTGGACATCAAATGGTTTGGCTTTGTGTTGATCTGCTGGTTTTGTCTCTTGCAGGTTAAATGCCTCTCTCTCTGCTCATCCTGAGAAAGATGAATTAATCCTTTTCGGAGGTGAATATTTCAATGGCCAAAAAGTAAAGTATATATTTTTTTCTTTCCTTTGCAAATTTCCATGGGTCTCATTTGGAGTAAAATTTATTTAAAACAGTGATATCAAATACTCATTGGTCCTTTAACTCCGTCCCACGTGTCCTGCCTCCTGAGCTGTCAGGACTGGCATGTGATGTCCTTGACAAGCTATCAGCATCCTTTTGTGACCTTTAGGGTCACTCTTTTTACTGCCTTGAGGTTGACCAGCATTCTACTCATTCAGGTTGATTGTCCATGTTGTTCTTCCTCATGATGGGTTTCCAAAGTTGTTTTAAATTGGAAAAGTACTGATCAGTTTTAGATCTAATTTTTATTTTTAAACAGGCCATAAAGACTGGTGTTTCAGAGTTGTATGTGAAACAGTTACAAAGCATGAAGTTTACCTTCCCTGCATGGTGGACAGGTGGTGTTTTACTTTGTGTCATCATCCCAAAGGATGCAGGGGACCAGCTGCACCAGCCCTGTATTGATAAGATTTACATTGCTTTAGGAAATACATTTTCCAGGGCAGGCTAGCGATAGGTCCTTCTTTCCACTTACTGTCACTTGCCTGGAAGCATCATTCATGTCAGTAAAGTTCCTCTTCCTTCCTGCAGACGTTTTTATATAATGAACTGTATATCTACAACATCAGGAAGGACACCTGGACCAAGGTCGAAATCCCCAATCCACCTCCGAGGCGCTGTGCTCACCAGGTATGTGTCAGCACTAACCCTTAGCCTTCCCTCTGTTCCCGTTGGGGCTTTACTCTGAGGATTCTGTTAGGGCCTTTTAGAATTGGTAAATGACAGGCAGCCTTGTATAGTGACTGGGTCTTGCACATGGTCCTCACTTTGCTGTTTTCTAACTTGGGCTTGTTTCTGAACTTCTTCACATGTCAGTCTTCATCTGTAAGGCAGGGAGATGAATACCTGCTTCTCCAGGTGGTGCAAAGATCGTATGAAATAATCTAGGTAAAAATGCTGAGTGTGGTGCCTGGCATATGGTCAGCAAATTGCTCCTTTTCCGTTTGAGTGAAAGAGGCTCCTATAGGCCCAAGATCGGGTGACTAGAGAGATATATGAAATAATCTAGGTAACAATGCCGAGTGTGGTGCCTGGCATATGGTCGGCAAATTGCTCCTTTTCCGTTTGAGTGAAAGAGTCCTATAGGCCCAAGATCGGGTGACTAGAGAGATGAAAACGAGAAAACTGACCAAAGAGTGGTGTAAATGCTGCGTGGAAAATAATTATTGTAGAATGAATGAGTCATAAACAGGGTAATGAAGGAGAAGCGCTAAACCAGATGTTGTTGGCTGGTTTCTGCTTACCCCAGGAGAGCTCTGTCAGAGCTGGTTACCTATCAGGGAAGGGTCCTGGTTTCAGTGTCTATAAAGTTACATGAGGACAGACACTTGGTCTTGTTCATTATTATAACCCAGTACTTGGAACAGTGTCGGGGCACAAAACCCCCAAAACCAAACAAACACCAACAATTTAAATGACTGACACTGCTCCAGGGTGGAGAAAGATGGTCATAGGAGCCCACCATGTGTACGTGGTTCTCTTTTTTCTGATTTCTGCTCAGAAATAGCCTACTGCTCTGAAATTGGGTGGGAGGAGGACCTGTCTGCCTGAATTGCATGAGCATCTTGTGCACATGAAGGCTTGCAAGCATTTAGACTGGTTTATCTTCTGGAAAAGAGGAAGACACTTGCTTTCAGGTTTAAATATTAGACTTAGTAAACTTGGATTTTAATAAATAAATGGATTTTGATAAATTCCAAGTTTGTCTACCAGAGCCCTCTCCAGTTCTGAAGAGTGAATGATCTGCCCCAGAAAAGCTAAGGACTAAGTCCTGTCCTGTCTCAGTGGTGAGCACTCTTGAGTCCCCAGTCCTCCCAGATGCCTCATCAGATTCCTGGGTCCTAAGAAAGCTGATGTCTCAGTGGAGCAGTCAAGCTTCATGCCTATGTTACATAATGTAGGCTAGGGGTTTCTTTTTTGTTTATTTTCTTTTCTATTTTAATCAATAGTTACTGTGTCCTTGAAGAATTAGAGTCATGAAATTCTTTGAGATTTTTAAATTCAGGTATTTTGGCAGGGTGATCAGCAGGCTCTGATCCATAAGCATGCTTGATAAGGACTTTATTAGTCTAGGGCAGTGATGGCGAACCTATGACTCTACCCACTAACCCTAACCCTAACCCACATCTGACACGCGAACTCATTTTTTTGGTTGATTTTTCTTTGTTAAATGGCATTTAAATATATAAAATAAATATCAAAAATATAAGTCTTTGTTTTACTATAGTTGCAAATATCAAAAAATTTCTATATGTGACATGGCACCAGAGTTAAGTTAGGGTTTTTCAAAATGCTGACACGCCGAGCTCAAGAAGTTTGCCATCACTGGTCTAGGGCTTAATAATATCCTTGGAATTAAGATTGGCTTGCTGTTTATGCCGTGAATATCACAATGAATTGTAGTGATGGGAAACAGAAAATTGGTTACAAATTTTTTTTTGCGTAAAGGTCATTACAGTTCAAATTCTACTACATTAAATTTGAGACATAAAAGTTTCCTCATTATAGACTAGAGTAATGAATATGATGTTAGAATCCGTGGACTTTATCTTTTCTTAAATCAATTAGAGCAAAAAGAGTAGAAAGAGAAAGCTTATACATATACCCTTTATTCTTTTCTCCTAGGTCCTGTATTTTGGGATGGGGTGAAGTTTTTTTAGTGTGTAATTTGAGAGTTTAGATGGCCTTTTGTAAAATGAATACAGCCCAGTGAGAAAAAATAAAGGGTCATAACATCTGCCGAATGTGTGATTAAGTGACGTGAGAGAAGAAGGGAGTATTCAAACTCTTGTGCCTGGCCTGTTGAGGATACGAGGAATGAAACTGTTGAGAATCGAGGGCTGTGTGAGAAAGAGGCGGCAAACATCGTGAGTTCCCAAAAGTAATGACTAAAACTCACTCAAAACAAAATGCATTATCTCATAAAATAGAAAAAAAGTTTTATACGTATATAATAAAGAGCCAGGGTTGTAACGATAGATTATGGTCAAAGGCTCAACCAAACCGGAAGTCAGTGCTGGGTTGTTGTGGCGACCCAGCACTGACTGGGGCTGCTGCGGGCTCCCCGGCTCAGCACTGACTGCCTAGGGCTGTGATGGCGAACCTATGACACGTGTGTCAGAGGTGACACGCAAACTCATATTTTTGGTTAATTTTTCTTTGTTAAATGACCTTTAAATATATAAAATAAATATCAAAAATATGTCTTTGTTTTACTATGGTTGCAAATATCAAAACATTTATATATGTGACACAC